TCGATGGATTACGATTAAAGGCTGCTGATGCTGTAGCAAGTTAGATTAAAATGCAGTCAAAATGAAAACAGCAATTTTGGTTTCAGAGGTTTATTGAAGTCACTCGCGCTGTCTCACTCTCTTTGCTGCCTGCTCTTCCCTGGCTTAGCACACCATTCACCATCGTGAAAGCAGTGGGAGGATGGAGGGATGCAGAAGGAGAGAGGATGAAAGGGAAACAGCTGCTGCCTTTAAACTGATGTTCTTTTTATCGTGATATGATACAGGACATGGTCAGTGACTCAGCCATCAAAGAGCTGCTTGGAAACAATTATATCCAGTCAAAATGAAAACAGCAATTTTGTATGCTATCTGTTTAAATAATTTAATAAATAATTCTATTAATACATGTGTGTATTTTGCATTTGTATCCTGTTTTTACACAGTCAATCTAAGGGCAACACATGACTTTGTTTGTGTGTACATAAAAATATATGTACTGAGAATATTTGGTACATCTTTGACGTGTCTCAAACAGCTACAATTATATGTTCATTCATCACAGGTTAAAGTATATTATAATTCTGACAATTGCAATCAGTATATATATTTCAATTTGTCCTGGAATGAAACAGGAAACAAATACATATTTCTGAAATATAAATTGTGACACTGCCCCAGGAAAGTTAATGATCCAGTTCATTGTTCATCAGTTGTCTGAGTTTGATATACAGGTTAACAGTTTCAAACACATCATTTGTTAATTTCAGATTATACTCTGACATTAGATCCACACAGATATGGAACACATCTTCATCACATGGGAAGTCCTTGAACACACACTCATCAAGGCAGACTTGAACTTTCTCCAGGTCCACGTGGTGCAAACAATCTCTGAATCCATACAGATGAGGGACTGCATGCAATATGGAGAGGCGTCCATGGGGTGATCGTGAGTTATGGACTTGACGGACTCTGTGATTGTTCCAAGTCAATACAACCTCATTAAGTTCTTCCTAGGAGGCAAATAATATTCAGTCAAATAGAATGTATAAAATTACTGGGCAGTGGTGATTACTGCCTTAGTCAAGTTTAGTCTTGACCCATGGTTTGTTATATTTGTGAGATTTGTCTTCTAGTTGTACTATGGTAGGTTGGCACAATCATATTAATACCTGTAAAATGTAAACTGCAGCAGTGCAACTAATGTTATATCTTAACCGCTATAAAAATGTGGTGGATAAACCCAAAAATAAAAATTCTTAAATACCTACTTATTTGACACAGCTACTCTGAATACCCACATATTTTTGTTAGCCATAAATAATAACTTATTATTCACTCTCTCCACGGAAAACAGGCAATTTATATTTTACACATGGTCATTTGTGGCTCTTAAAAAATATTAACCCAGGGGCGGATCTACGGGGGGGGGCAAGGGGGGCAGCTGCCCCCCCCCACTGTAGAGCCTTGCCCCCCCAGCTGCCCCCCTAACTTGTTTCCCTAAAACTGTACTAAAACAAACCTACACTATTTCCACAAGCAACGAAACAAGCATTACATTAGTTAAAAGTGAATCATTTTAAATATCATTTTAGGCCCGTTAAAAACGCAGCTACGGCCCTGCATTAAACTGTGGAGCGGCGTTCACACAGACCGCGGCTCACAGAGCTGCAGAGAGGGAGCGAGCTGTCCCAGCGCCTATGGGTCAGCTACCCCTGGGAGCATTTCCCCTTCCACTAGTTTTGTTTTTACTAAGGACGATAGCTTGAAACTAAATATTAATAAAACGCTGCCGTTTGAATCGATAGCGTTTAACAGATGGGCGCTGTTTGGGGCGTTACGTTACAAAATACTACGCAGACAGCGTTAGCTGGGAGATCGATCACTTTGCTAAACTATGCGGTAGCCTACTATTAAATCCACCTAAACTACACATCACAGCAATGAGCAGGGCCGGCCCTCGGCATAGGCAGTATAGGCGAATGCTAAGGGCGCATCAACCCATAGGGGGCGCCGAAAATTGAAAAAAATACAAAGTTAGAAATTAAAAAAATATTTTTTTTTTTATTTCATAACACAATTTCCCGATTTTGGATCAACAAAGTACATCTTATTATCTTATACTAACAGAACTACGCCTATATTGCATACAGCGCCCATAAACTATGGCACACACCCCCCCCCAAAATCAAGTTGAACTGCCCCAGTCCCAGTAAAAACCAGAGGTTTATGTGAAATTGTTCTTTTTTTAAAATAATGGTTTTAGTGTGCAATTATAGGTTTTAATTTTGTATTTGTATTCATTTAAAAATAAATCAAACTCCCAAAAAACGTACACAGCTTCTGTGTGTTTTTATTAACATTGGAATTTACTGTGTAAGTGGCCGCGGTGGGGAGAGCTTTAGAGAGCTCTCTCCTGAAAGACTGAGAGGCTCTGATAAGCTCAGCTCAGTGAGGTAAAGGCACACCTTTATATGATCATTATAGTTATAAAAAAATAAGAGAATAGGTGAAAAACAGGTATAAAATACTGACAGTACAAAAAAGTTGTTATTAATAAACAAGAATACAGTTTGAAAGGGGAGTGATTTGTAAAACATCCATAAAGAAAAAGAAAATCTGCTTACAGTTCTGTTTCATATGGGTGTTGAGAGATGTATCCATAGATCTCCTAATGTTGCTCTCAAAGTGCACCAGATTGCCCCCCCCACTTAAATCATGTTCAAATGGATAGGAAACTAAATACAGTTGAACACATCTTGTGTCAATATCTTTGTTTTGGTGGTCATGCCACAACCGTGCACGCGCGAATCATAGTGAGTGTCTGCATTTTTGGGGGTGGGGGGGGCTAAAATCTTGCCTAGGGCGGCAAATTGGTCAGGGCCGGCCCTGGCAATGAGGCCAGATCAATGAAACCAGGATACATCCTTTACCATAAAAACTGGATCTAAACACAGCTGCCTGTGTGCGTTTGATAAATACTTTCTGATGATATGCTACTTATTAGCTAGGCTACATGGCCCTAACGTGTAAAGTTATACAAGTTACCAGTGCTTTTCACAAGTAGACTCTTGCAGGCCAGAGTATGAGTGATTCAACAACAACAAAAAGACATATCTGAGAAGAGATCAGGACGAACAGAAAGAGGAAAAGGAAAAGAGAGTTCACTGAAGAGACCAGGAGGGTCAGAGCAGGAGGAAGAGGAGGAGATGAAGACATTAGTGAAGAAGAAGAAGAAATATATGTGAGGAATAAAGATGAAGTGTCAGAAAGAGGGACAGAGGCAGGGATCAGGAGGCAGATGAAACTCCAGCTGGACCACAGTATGTTCTTATTCTCCTTACATATTCCATTACAGCAGCACAATCTAGCAGCTCTTAGTATTGACAATTATTGATTGAAATGTGTTGCTGCACAGGTCACCTTTAGCTCTCTGAAGAGATGGGTCATGTCATTTGTGTACTTAATTATAACTAAGTACTTACAGTATGCAGAATTAGAGTATTCTCTGAATCGGGTGCCTTTTGGGTCTTTATATCTTTGAAAAATGAAACCAAAATGTTTGGTCATAACATCTGGTAGTGGACTACTTACATTTTCCCACCGCAGGCACAAAATATAAATAATTACTAGGAATTTACTTGAAAAAAATGTAACAGGGTTGAAGTTTTTGACAAAAAGTAGCCATGATACCTTTTTTAGCTAAGATATGGCACCACATGGAAATCAAGGACATTACAAAATTGTAATATTTTGCAAAACTATTGTTTATTTTGTAATAAACTATTATTAATTCATATAACAGAGTTGAAATGTTGAGCTTGTCAATCTTAATCTGAAAATACAAAAACTGAAATATAGGTAAGAGAAGAAACTGACACTTTTGTGATGTAATTCCCTCAATGCAGATCACACATGGACTGATCCATTATTTTTAATAGGAGGGTAAATGGTATGGCGTGACAGGGTTGAAACAAACTGAGGGACGTGTGTCAATATTGCAATTTCATAGATAATTCAAGTATTTTTTCAGAATTAATTTTTGATCAGTTAAAGTTGACAAGCATATGATTATATTAGCAACATTTTTGGAATAATTGGCCATTTTGATTTGTTTAATATTAAATGAATATGTAATAATGCTTAGTGAGCACATGCAAATATGTCTGTCTAATACTAAGACAACACATTTTTTGTAATGCAAAACAACCTGTTCCATTAATTGCTTTAAAATACATTTTGTAGTTTCCTTTCATTTAAAATTATTGAAGTAAGCTTGGGGGACTCAAAGGGCACCCGATTGTTTGTCTGAACACCTTGTTTCTCTTGTGCATTAAGAACACTTGTGTTAGTGCATGAATTAACAATAAATAGGTTATATACAGTGTAAAATACCACGTACTGTCCGCCCTCCCATGCCACCCTGGCATGACCTCTTGCCCCCCCTTTGCCACCCCATGTAAAATTTTCTAGAACCGCCACTGTATTCACCACATTCAACATTTATTTATTTCATAATGTGACAAGTACCTGTATTTAGTATTATTTGTAGAAAGCAGAACTGGATCAAGGACTTGTCCAAGAAGTTGTCTGAGAAGTAGCCATCTACACTCAGTAGAGGTTTCTCAATACTCAAATTTCCCCTCCTCGACTCCTCGGTCCTCCGGTAGTGACCCGGAAATGAATTTCAGCGCGCCATGTTGAAGGACATCTCATTTCTCTTAATGCACTTCGAGGACCGAGCATCGAGGAGGCTCTCTGGAGGAGCTCTAACCGAGGAGACACTGATGGATCCTCCACGGCTCCTCCGCGGATGCGGTGGAGGCGGCCGGACTTCTCTCAGCCAATGACAGCTCTGCGTTTGTAGCAGTGGCCGCAGAATAAATATATGAATTTAACAGTTTGGTTAAACCACTAAGTCCGACAACGCCACCCCGGGAATTTCACCCAGGGAAATGTGACAAGTTTTAAGTCACTAGGACACACAGGTTCGGTTACTCATGGAACAAGAGACGTGGTTCAATTAACAAAAATAGAACAGTTTATTTGTATACAATAGTAAAAATACAATTTATAAAAACAGTCACACAGGGCTATATCCAAAAGGGAGAACGGACAAGGGGGCTGAGGCTTACCAGTGGGGGAGAGGGTCAACGAATGAGTAGCGGGATCCCACAAAAACAAACTTAAGTCACCCCGGTCACACGTGTTCCACACTCACACAATCACACGGAGAAAAGATCCAAAAACCCGGGGGAAGCACAGCACACGGAAAGGGGGAAGCCACCACCTCGGACACCAATACCACCACCTTCAGCTCTCAGTAACTAAAACAGGAAAACAAGGGAAAACACAATAAGTGGGGGACAAAAACACAGAATGAAATAAACCAAAATAAGCCGCAATCATGCGGCATAAACAAAACTATGCAAAAAGCAAAGAAAGAAAACCTAAACCAAAATCATATAAACAAACAATGATTTGACCAAAGATATATCGACACTAATTAAGTATAAAATAAGCCAAAAGAAAGAAAATAACAAAAGAAAATAGGAATAAACTAAAATAAACTATTAATGAAAAGGAACAAAGTAAACAAAATAGTTGAAATTGGTGAAGGAAAGAATAACTAAACAGAAGGAGTTAGCCCAGCAGTCCAGTCACTAAAACACCACTAGGGGAGCGGACCTCTAGTACAGAGTAGGCCACGCTAAACCGGCCCAACCACAGTAGCCAAAAGCGAACAATCTAAGTAGTGTCCAGTAGCACAGGATCGGTCGGGCAGGTGATGATACTGCCGTAGGCAATGCCAAACCGGACCAGACACGTTAGCCAGACGCAGACAATCAACTAGCACTTAGCAGCACACAGGATCAGCAGTACGGGTGATGACCCTGCGCCAGAAACCCGTCTCTTTTCGGTGCAGCAAAACAGCAGCGGTTCTTTAAAGCCTTAGCTTGGCCCTAGATTAACAATAAACACACAAGTATAATATTAATGTTCAGGAAAGGTGTGGTAAATGGACTGAACAAATCGCCGTACATACCGATTAGGCAGAGAGGAGAGAGTTTCATGCTCTCTAAGTTACGGCTACTTGACGGGCATCGCCAGGAAGACCCTCCGCTATACAAAACAAAACGTGACTACACGTAAGTATGATAAATTGCGAAACTTTACCTGAAGCCAACTATTCTCCTACAACATACCTACGCCGGTGGCGGAAGCAAAACACGGCAAGAACGGAAGTGGGTTGGTCTGGGCACCAGCGAACAAGAGGCCGCCAGCTAGAAGCCTCTGCTCCTTTATAGGGTGCCCCCTGGCGGTGATAGGCTAAAAATAATATGCCTTACAACACTATTTACTGCTCATCCTGCCACACATGCATCCCCTTGATATTATTTTAGAAACTGCTTTCATCGCGACGCGATGTTTCCAGAGAGAACAGCTGTGAGGTCCATGCAGAAAGCAGAACAGTGTGTAAAATGTATATCACTCAGTATAACAGGCCTACATTACTCTCTGTATTTGTATGCTTTAGTTTAGTAGATATCTACAAACAAAGAGTCGATATTTTTCTAAGACCATTTAGTGCTTCACATAATAAAATACACAACGGCTGTAGCCTGATTATGCTTTAGGAGCTAGGTGTGTGTGTTGTAGCCTACAATGTGTAGATATGGCGGACAGACGGGTCTCAGTTGGTTTGGTGTCCTATGCTTACTTTTAATACTTGTAAATACAACTTTTGGCCCGTAATTTCAATTCCACATTTCAGAAACCAGAGAGAGGGGGGGATATATCCAGTCTCTGATTGTGTTACGTTATTATGAGAGTGCTCTCTCATACTTGTTTGATTCTGAAATTGTATATATTTATATAAATATATGTGTGTGTGTATATGTCCGCATCTGTAGCCTGTTATTGTCTCATTATACCGCACTGTCAATGAATTAAAAGTAAATATATAAGTCGTCATGAACACATCTGTCCATCAGACAAAGGGCTGTTGTGCCTCCTGTCATCATTAATGGACGTCTCCTTAAAATGACCGCTCAGAGGAAAGGAATTCTCATTTCTCTAACCGCCTGCTGCTTCCCCTCCTCTCTCCTCGGTTCCCCTCCTCAGTCCTCCGCTCGCATCTCCTGTGGGCGGCACCAAGTCTCGAGGATAGGAGTCGAGGAGGGGAAATTTGAGTATTGAGAAACCTCTACTTTGTCAAAAAGGTCCATCCAAAACTGGACACACTCACTTTGCAAGGTCAGCCACCATCGTTCAATACGCTGGTTTACAGCGCTTGGACCAAAGGTTACATTGTCTGTTTCAGCTTGGTTCTCAGAAAAATGCAAAAACTGCTGCATTTCAGCCATATGGCCATTTTCTGTTCCTAAATCAAGTCTGAGTCTGGCAGGGCACCCACCAGCATCAATAAAGTAGCCAGCGATGATCTTCGGGTCTTTGTTTGTTTTGTAAGCTTCAAGCCATATCATCTTTCTGGAAAACCCGTCAATGCCACTGATTGCAATTCCAAATGGCTTAAGCTTGTCGTAACATCAATGTGCCATACATAGTTTGGACCACAGCTGTGGTAGATGCGCCTTTGCAGTCTGTTTCTTGACCTCAGATCAACACCTTCACCATCCAATAACTGTAGCAGTATTCGCACTATTTCTCTGTCAGTCACAATTCCATGTAACCAACATTTTTGGTGCATCCATCTGTAACCATGACACTGACCAGATGTTTCCAGTTGCTGTTCAATGAAGATTGCCACATCGGTTTTATTCTTTCGATGCCAGAGCTGCTTCTTATGGAAGCCCATTTCCACCACTCATAATAATGAGATAAAAAGTCATAACTATGAGATAAGAAAGTCGATATTATGAGATAAAAACATTACCTGTTATGAACTATAATATATATGCCTATAGTTTTGTGGTAACATTCACGGTTTAGAGTTAGGCTAGCAACTCACAGCAGCAGTATGCCCACACTATTGTCATTAGTGGCGTGAACGTTGCCACAAAACTATAGGCATATATATTATAGTTCATCAACAGGTAATGTCAAAGCTATGAACTGCATTGTTGTAGTTTAGCTGCAATATAGGTTATATGTAACATCTAACATTTACAAAAGTCACCTGTAATAGTTACCTTATTTAGGACTAGATGCCGTTTGCATGGTGGAGAGCAGCAAGGTGATGGAGGGACCTTTGAAGACAGCGCCACTGCAGCATAATTATGACTTTTTATCTCATTATTTCGACTTTCTTATCTCATAATTATGACTTTTTATCTCATGATTATGACTTTTATCTCATTATTATGACTTTCTTATCTCATGATTATGACTTTTTATCTCATTATTATGACTTTCTTATCTCATAATTATGACTTTCTTATCTCATAATTTCGACTTTTTTATTTTCATAATTATGACTTTTCATGGGGATTTTAATTGTTTTAAATGGTGGAAATGGGCTTCCATATATTATCATCACACTTGAGAAACAGCCTTATCGTGGCTGTATACGGAACATGTAACTTAATTCCTGCATTTAAGGACGATGAATAGCGTAGTCCAGTGGTTCCCAACCTTTTTTCCCAAGAGCCCCCCCAAATGACTGCTGTTGGAAGCAGTCATTTTACATTTTAATTACTTTTACATTTTAATTACCCCCCCCCCCCCCCCCCCGTGGGGGGGGGGGTAATTAAAATGTCTCAAAAAAATGTCTCTAAAAGTCTCAAAAATGCTACAACTACTGTCACAAACTAGATTAATGTGAAGTATTTTGTTAAAGGAGGATGAAAGCGTAATTAAGGAGCACTATCGGAGTGACTTTGATGGTTATTGGACTCAGGATTAATTCATTTGGATTCCCGCTGTATGAAGAAATTAAAGGACGGCGCGGAAGTGCAAACAATTCAGAGGGATTCAACTGTTTAAAACACATGCTCAAAGTAAGCCGGATTTTGCCGATGTGTTTATGTGGATTCAAAAGTCGGAAATAATCTACAAAATGGAGGAGACCAATCTGATCGGAGCAACTGTGACAAATAATCCAACTGAAACCGGCAAGGACAATGACTATGTTTTAAAAATGCGCTTATCCAGACAAGCCTGGTTTGGACAATTTACGGGCAGAAGAAACATTTCTATTAAAGAAAGAATTATACATTTCTGTCTTTTTATGCCTTTAATAGCTACTAACTTGAATTGTTATTCTAATTAATCAATTATTTTTTATATTTTATTGTATTGTAGAGACAAGGCTTTTAGTGACAATCATGTATTGCTTTACAATTATATGTAAAAAAAAAAAGAAAAGTCTAAATATGATATTTGGCCTCAAATCATCTGAGGCCTGATGCCCCCCCCTGCGATCTTTGGCAGAGAAGTTAAATCCATTTCTCACTTATTCTGACAATGTACTTAACCCCAAATAAAAGAACCCAATATATAGAGTTGTTAAATAATAATGAAGTCACGTTGTAATAAGAATAACTCATCGATCTCTCGTTTTATTTTTGAGCTTTGCCAAAAGCCACTGTGTCAATGTTGTCCTACTTGGGTTGCCGTCCGGAGTTGTCCAATATGGCGGACCATCTCGCACATGCGCACTGCAGATCGGGCAGAGCTGCAGATCGGGGCTGCTTCTCAGGTCGATTAAATGAAATCCTTGCTTCCCTCACTTGCGTCGTTTCCCTGCGTTTAGTCCCTCCCACCAGGGAAGCATGGAGGGACTCAAGGAAACCACGAGAAGCAGGGAAATGAGTTTTAAGAGCAATGGGACGTCCTTTCCTCCGGAGCGTCACGTGAAGCGACGTCCGTTTGTGATGACGCTGCACAGCTGTTCGTCTGGCAGCAGCCAGCTCTGTACCTGTACCCGTTATTTCCAAACACCCCCGCCTCTGTTAGTGCACATGTACTGACATAAACATTAGTATCATCTGTTGTAGATCCAAATACATGAAATAAAATAAGAAGTCATTCTCAAAAAAGATAAACGCCATTCTTAAAATGTATTTAAACGAACAATAGTTTGATTAATATTGATTAGAGTGCACAATAGGAATACAATTATTCAGAGAACAAAAACAGATATGTTATCTATCAAAACCCAGTTAGATTAACATTCATTGGACTGCACACTTTGTTTGTTTGTGTGGAGCAAATTAACATTTTAAATAGGACTTAATGACTGCGGTTTGGCAGCTGAATTAAAAGCTAAGCAGGTCAGTGAAAAACTACAAGCTGAAACCCATTAAGGTAATTTAGGAAGAAGGTTCCAATATACATGTTGGATAGAAAGAGGTTTAACCTTTCCAAACACAACATGTCTGATGCAGGAGCAGTCCAGGCGCCGTCGGGCACGACTACAACAGGCTATTGGTTTCATGGAGGTAAGCATCACTAGTCTGTTGCAGTATGAATGGTTTCACCAACAACAGCAATTTCATGTAAGATCAATTAATTGTCAGTTTAATAAAAGCTAGGTGCTGAAGGTAACATGTATCTTTATTTTGCAGACGGATGTCGATCCCATAGCCATTTTAAACCCTCATGTGCCAGTCCTTGCGGCGTTCTTTGATGGCCAGAAGGACCTCATGCAGGACTACAGACTGGGGCGCCAGTCTCTGGAGGCCCTGCTGAGGATCCTGCCATCAAAGAACACACAAGGCTGGTCACATGAGGTGAATATTTTAATTACCCTTTATTGTTTGGCACACGGCTTGTCATACAGTGTGGTGTCCCGAGCCTTTGATGTCCCCAAGTCGACCGTCTGCAGACTGGTGCACACTGGAGTACAAAAATTGCAGTCCTTCGGAGAACTGGAGGAGGTTGGCCAAGAGTTTGCAAGGCTGGCCAACAGCCCAGTATTCTCCAGGTGTGTGGGGGCCATTGATGGCTGCCATGTCCGCATAAAGACCCCCCCAGGACCTCTGGGCCAGGATTACCTCAACAGAAAGCTCTTCCCATCCATACAATTGCAGGCAGTGTGTGATGGGAAGGGCTTCTTTCTCAACACCTTTGTTGGGTATCCTGGCTCAGTCCATGACACCAGAGCCCTGAAGAACAGCGCCATTTACAAACAGGCTCTGTATCCTCCCTCAGGTGACACCAAATATTCTTGTTAATACATCAAAATCCATCAATGACTTTTAGTATACTAAATATGTTCTCTCTCTTTTTAGGATTCTTCCTTTTGGGTGATGGTGGCTACCCCTGCATAGAAGGACCTGTGGCCCTCATCACCCCATATAGAGAACCACTGCAAGGGAGGGTGCAGAGCCGCTTCAAC